GGGGGTGTCATCATCAGATTAGTTTTAATAGGATCACTTGGATTATGTGTATCTTTCTCCCTCAGGTTCCCCTATCCCTTGAAATAGTCTCCCTTCTGCTTTCATGCATTTAAAAAAATCTACATTTTATAGATGAGAGAAAACATTTTATTTGCCTTTCTGAGTCTCGCTTCTTTGGCTTAATATGATAATCTCCCATTCCATCCATTTTCTTGCAAATGACATTATTTCATTCTTCTTTACAGCTTAATAAAACTCCATTGTGTATTATATACCGCTGTCTCTTTGCCTGTCCCTCTGCTGATGGCCATCTAGGCTGGCTCCACATTTTGGCTATTTCGAATAGCACAACAACAAACGTGGATGGACAGCCATCTCTGTGTTACGCTGATTTGGGTTTTTTTGGGCATATACCTGGTGCTATGGTCTGGCTGGATCCTAACGGTAGTTTTGTTTCTAGGTTTTTGAGGAACCACACTGAAATCCATTTGGCAGTACTGATTTACACTCTCACCAACATGTCTGAAGTCTTCCCATCCCTGACAGGACTTGCTGTTGGTCCCCTCCTACTGATAACCACCTGATGGGGGTGAGGTGGAGTCTCTGTGTAATGTTAATATGTATCTCTGTGGTGGTAAGGATATTGGAAATTGTAAATATGGAGGTTTTTTTGCCAGTAAATTTGACTATTTTTGACTTTTTAACATTTGAGTTTGTTATATAGTCTGGATATTAATCTCCTGTCAGATGCACAGACAGCAAAGATTCCTCATGTTCTCTTGTTTTCTCTCTACTCAGTAACTGTTCCATTTGTTGTTCAGAAGCTTTTTTTCTTGGTTTTTCGAGACAGGGTTTCTCAATGTAGCCCTGACTGTCCTAGAACTCTTTGTAGACCAGGCTGGCCTTGAACTCAGAGATCCACCTGCCTCTGCCTCCCACGTGCTGGGATTAAAGGCGTGCACCACCACCCCCTGGCGTTTGTTGTTCAGAGACTTTGTTGTCGTTGTGTTTTTTCAAGACAGAGTTTCTCCATGTAGTTTGGTGCCTGTCATGGATCTTGCTCTGTAGACCAGGCTGGCCTTGAACTCACAGAGATCATCTTGGCTCTGCCTCCAGAGTGCTGGGATTAAAGGCGTGTACCATTGCCGCCCGGCTGTTTGGAGACTTTTTTTTTTGGTTTTTTCGAGACAGGGTTTCTCTGTGTAGCTTTGCGCCTTTCCTGGAACTCGCTTTGGAGACCAGGCTGGCCTCGAACTCACAGAGATCCGCCTGCCTCTGCCTCCCAAGTGCTGGGATTAAAGGTGTGCGCCACCACCGCCGGTTCGGAGACTTTTAATCTGACTCAGTCGATGAAGTTACTTTGTAAGACATACAGCCTTAGCCGATTTCATTGTTATGTGAACGCCATAGAGTGTACGTCTACAAAGTTGTGTGGTAGATAGCTTACTAAACACTTAGGCTCTATGGCATGAGTTCAGCCTGTTGTTCATAAAGGCAGAGTAGACAAAAGAACTCAAGAATAATCAGGCACAAGAGAAAGTGGTATAATCATGAGATACTCTAAACACTGCATGTATGAGGCTGCTGCCAGTGTAGTTCAGTGTTTATGCTTTACAGTGAATGTTATTTGTATGAGTAATATACTATGAAATAATAGAAAGTATAATATAAGAACTACATAAGGCAGTTAGCAATCATATATTATCGCCATCAAGTATTATGCACTATGCATCATTGTGTGTGGTGTTCTTTTATATGGCTGCCAGTAGAGTAGTGGTTGGTTGTGCCAGCAGTCGGGGAAGAGGAGGAGCTGGTAAATGGGGCTGAAATGGAGCAGCTAGTGAGGTCGAAGGAAGCAAGACAGTGGTGTTCTGGGAGCCAAAACATGAGAAGACACATTCACCAGCTGTGTCCAGTGTTGCTGAGGATGGATTGTTGGACTTCAGGACCAGGTAGTTGGTGACCTTAATGCAAACAGTTTAGGTGGAGTGGTGGGAACCTTATTCAAGTGGTTGAGTAGAAGAATACGAGATGGGGATATATACAGTTCTTGTGAGTTTGGCTACAAAGCGGAAAAGAAAGAAGTAGAGTATTAGCTAATAGGGACTATGGACTCAAGAAAGTCTTTCTTTTGAGACAGGGTCTCATGTAGCCCAGGCTGGCGTCCAACTTACTACACAGCTGAGGATAACCTTTACTTCTTGGTTCTTCTGCTTGCATCTCACAAGCTCTGGGAGGATTGCAGGCGTGGTACCTGGCTCGTTGATTTTTCTTTCTTTTAAACATGAAAAAAAAAGATTTGTTTATTTTGTGTGTGTGAGTGGTTTTGTCTGTATGCATGTATGTATACCATGTGCATGCCTGATGCCTACAGAGGCCAGGAAACGGGATTGGCTCATCTGCAGCTGGGGTTACAGATGACTGTAAACCGCCCGCTCAGTGCTGGGAGCCAACCAAGGTCCTGTAGGCAAGCAGCCAGTGCTCTTGGCCACTGAGCCATTTCTCCAGCCCTCCTTGATTGCTTTGAAAGCGGGAAAGTAAAAGAAAGCGTGTCTGTTAATGGGAGTGATCTAGCACTGAGGCAGAAAACGATATTTCGGGGGAGAAAAAAGATAACTGTTTGAACAATGGGCGTAAATAACAGTACATTTTCTAACTCCTGAGTAGGATTTGTAGTAGAATATTCTGCTATTTTAATTAGAAGATCTTTTGTCTTACTACCTAAGTGTTCTCATGTAACAACAGGAGTCATTCTTCATTTTACAATGGTCATACCGTGATGGAGTTGTAGTTCTTACTTCCTTAAACATTATTTCTAGATGAGGCTTTGTT